ATATATTTCCAGTTTGTGGTTTGAACAACAATTTTGCAAAAATAGGAGTTTGACAGGAATTGCTTGTTAAGTTAAGTTTCTTTAGCTTATTTTTGTTGCTTTGGATATAGTAAGTGAAAATTAAATTTGAGTGATTGATAATTAAAATCAGATACATAAACATAATAATAATTCTGTAGATCTTTTTGGAAGAAATTAAATAAAAATGGAAATGCAAGAATATTTTAGAAAAAAAAAAGTGAAAATCAAAATGTGATACAATTAGTTAGAAATGCAAGAATATTTTTTTCTCTGGTGTTTATTATGAAGGATATTTTTTTGAGAAGTGAGTGTGAGCAGGCAGATATCCCTGGCAGCTGTTTTGCAGTAGAGTTACGATCAGATGATTTACAGTGGAACATTCTGATGCAAGCGTAAATCCACCAGAGACTGTAGAAGTTGTCAGATCTCTAGTTTTTAAATTCCTTCATTTTGGAAACCAATATTAACTGGTGTATTTTAAGTGCCCTGTGATTGAAAGCATTGCTGTAGTTTGTGCTGTTACTATTGAACTGTTTGTCTTTTTTTGATGGTTCTGTCCAAAGCAGCAACTTTGCGTTGCACTCTAAAGTTTGATTCCAGCATGCATGATAGTTACCAGGTTCTTGTGTCACCAAATTGTCAAACAGGGTTGCTTTGCACAAACCGGTCCGTCTGTCAGCTGCACGTGTTTATCAGCCTGTGCCTGCACATTCCCTTAAGATTTTAAGTCATTGCCTGTTTCCATGCTGTAGCATTTGGGTTTGCCAAGATTTGCAGACTTTGAATGGTGTTTCTGGACTCTGTTCTCTTGAAAATCTCCCAGATTCGGCAATAGAGGGAGAGAAGGAAGTGTGCGAATGCAGTAAAAAAAAGAGACGGTTAAGACTCAGTTGGTCTCTCTCTAAGCTGGAATGGGAAAAGGACTGTTGGATAAATGGAAATAATTGACCCCAAGTTGCAAATTCTGTCATCATTAATTTGTTCGCTCTCATGTCTTTCAAATGTGTATGACTCTCTTTCTAATGGTGAACAAATAGGTTGATATTTTCCATACAATTAAATGTCTTAAATTGAGTTTTCAAGATTCAGGAAGGATGCAAATAAATAATACAACTATCATAAAAGTGTTACTTATGTCTACTGTTCTGTAAGTCTTAAATGTTTGTGAGCAAAAAAAAGTTTATTTTGTTATTTACTTGTTCACCACAAATGACTTATGATCTGTGTTAGCATTCTTATTTTATTACAAATTATTATTGCTGTTATTATTTTTATTACCATTACTGACAAATCTCATTTTATTTTTATTTTTAATTCTGTTTATTGGTGTAATGATGCTTTGGCAATATTGTACATATAAAAATGTTAAGGTACTATAAAATTGATCATAAAAATGTATTTATGCGCTTGGATCATCTAAAAAGAGAAAATTACATTGATATCATTATGTAAAAGTTGTTGACCTGCTTTGATTAAAATCAGTTAATTCTGCTTTCAGTGAAGTGTTTAGCCCATCATAGTTCTCTCTCTGTGTCTGTTTTTATGAAATCTCTTGCATCGTGTGTTATGAAATTTTCCCACAAACTTGAGTAGTACATGTGTAGCATCTTTGTGAGCCTGTATGTGTCATCTTGTTTATGTAATATTTATAGAAAAGCATGAACGGTAGCCACTCAGGAGATAAATTCCTGGGGGGGAAATTTGTGCTCTGTGGTATAGTCACAGGGGCACCTGATGACAAAAAAGAGCTCTTTGTAAACCATAGACCGCCAGTATAACCCTTGAACCCTCTGGTTTCAGAGTTTGAAAGTCCAGAAACTACCTCTAGGCAAAGGGTTAATTCTAACAGATAGGTTTTCTAAAGAATTATCTGCTAGCTAGCCAGCTGTTGGCAGTGTTTAAGTTTGTTTGGTTGGTAACGGATTACAGTAAGGTTAAATTATTTAATGTTATTTAATGCATTGGGTATCATAACTAACCAGGAACAAGACTCTTTTTAGCATTTTTTAATCTAGGTTCTGTTTTAATGTCTACACTACCAATAAAATGTTTTGGGGTTGGTAAGATTTTTAAAATAAGGCTGCGTTTATTTGACCAAAAATACAATAGAAACAGTAATATTGTGAAATACTATTGCAATGTAAAATAACTATTTTCTGTTTCAATATATTTTCAAATTAAAAAGTAATAAATTCCTGTCATGCAAAGCTGAATTTTCAGCAGCCATTTCTGCTGTCTTCAGTGTCACATTAATAATATTAGTAATATATTATATTTTATAGTAATATTGGTAATATTTTTGTGGAAACAGTGATACATATTTTTTTCAGAATTCTCAGATGAATAAAAGGTTCAAAAGAATAGCATTGATTAAAAATAGAAATCTTTTGTAACATAATAGATGTCTTTACTCTCACCTGTGATCAATCAAATGCATCCTTGCTGAAGAAAAATGGTAATTTCTTTAAAAAAAAAGTAGTGTATGCTAACTAGAGCCTGACCGATATGGGTTTTTCGGGGCCGATACGATATCGATATTTGGGAGTAAAAAAGGGCCGATATCGATATATCGGCCGATATTCTTTGTGTATATTATAGTACAGTACCAGTCAAAAGTTTGGACACTTTCCCATTCGAGGGTCCAAACATTTGACTGGTACTATATTTAGAATACAGTATATACATAAACAGAATATATATACACAAACACATTTTTTGCAATGATAACTCAAATTGTGGTGATCAAACACTTATAATGACGTGACAGAGATACTTAATGGAGGCAGGGCATTTAACAATTTAACAATAAACTTTATTATCCAAAATGAGTCTGACATCAGTGCACTGAACAGTAAAGTTGAAGTTTATTCAACTTTAATTCAATTCAATTCCATTCAACTTTATTCCTTTGAAGTTTATTTCACTTAGGAACATTCATTCACGGATTTGCGCTACTGTCTTCACACACAGACGAAACTTACTAGAGAAGTGTGAAGTGTGACACAATATACCTCTGTAAATAAATACAATATAAATTCACGTCTCGCGCACTTTAATGCCCTTTGATTGTAATGTGTACGTTCCCTTGGAACTGGAATCATGGCGGTATTTCATGTGAAGTCCACTTCGCAGGGCACTTGCGGTCGAATAATACAACGCTTGAATGCTGCTGCCTGAACAAGAGACCTCCTTACTGAAGTGAAAGTGTTGGCTGCGGTGGTCTCATTCGAAAGCGGGCCTCTAGACGTATACTCGATTTGCGTTCGAGAGGGTTCCTCGAGTGAAGGGATCCCCTGAATTTGGTGCGGATTCGCCACGCCGTTATGGAGATATGGCCGTTCAAAGTTTCAATGGTTTTCCATAGACTTAAGCTTTAAAGCGTTTCATCCAGGTCGCCAGTAGCAAACAATAGAGCGCGCTCTGCTGGACAAACTAAGTAATTACACCATTTCAAGCATTTTATCTGCGTTATATGTTCTGTAAAAAAAATGTGCATATCGGCGGCATATTCGCTTATACCGATATATCGGCGACAGGCTCATATCAGCCGATAATATCGGCAAAGCGATATATTTGTCGGGCTCTAATGCTAACACATTTATGTTGTATTCTTTCAAATTAGTTTTTCATTTAAAGCACCAATGATCAATGATGTATTTATACATTAACATTAACCTAAATTAAAAAATGCTATAAAATTAATTAATTTATTCACTAATGATAATGAAATGAATCTTCTTGTAAAGTGCTACTGCTTGGTTTTATGTATCGTTTGCTGTCTCGTGTCATGTCAGAATCATAATACATAAGTTTTATGTTGGCCATACATGTGAATGTTTTTGTACTGTTGGTAATGAATAGCAATAAAGCTTGCCATAAGATACTACTCATTTAGTCTGTTTATGAAGCAAAAATATAGATAATGCTTTTAATATGTGCTTTAAATTACTAAAAAAGCTTTTGGCTTTTATCGGTAATAATAATAATAATAATAATAAGTTTTATTTATATAGCGCCATCAAAAATGTGAGGATAACATCAAACAAGCAATCAAACAATAATACAGAAAGTAAAGAGAACATCAGACATCCAGAGAGAAATATATGGATGACAACATAAAACAGAATAAACAGAAGTCAACTTAAGAAAGGTAACATTGTGAAAACAAATGAGTTTTGAGCAGTAACAGGTAAAACACGTTCTTCACATCACAACGACAGAGAGCCAGTTATTGTTATGTACATGCTTGTTCGCACAGATCCCTGGATGCCCGCCGGTGCCCTCGCCCTGGCCGCACACGCAGACTCAATGGCCATCAGCTGACCCCTCCCCCCAGGATGACGGTGAGAGAGCGGCTTCGGCAGAACATCTCGGCTGCCTTCTACCGGCACGGCCTGCTATGTGCCTCCTACCCGGTTCCCATCATTCTCTTCACCTCTGCCAGCATCCTGACCTGCTGGTGAGTCTGCAGTCGTGATATTTGATTCAAACAGGAAGTAATGGGATTGGAGCGTGATTTAAACTAATCAGGGACACAATGGCTGCTAGGCCACGACTCTGATGGCCTTTGTCAATGTTGAAGTACTTTATGTACTTCTGTGGGTTAGGAAAAGCAGCTTATCTGTACAAATCTGGGGGTGGGATGTTTTCGGGTGTGAAAGGGTGAGAGAGGGCAACAAAGGAATGAAGTTGGCTTGTGGTCTGTTGTTCTGCACAGTTTGATTCAACAGCAAGATCGTGCCAGGAGGACTGTGTGTAGCACAAACACAAAGTGGAGCACTGAGCTGGAGAAAACGGTTTTCTCATGCCTTTTCTTTTAGCCTCAGTCAGCAAAATGCGAATTAAATCTCTGAAGCTTCAGATAAAGGGCAAAATCCATGCGGAAAAGAGTGAGTGTGTGAACATTTCTCCCTGAGAACAACAGCCCAGTGTCTTCAGCTGCCTGGAGGAACAGAAATAGGCTTTGTGAAGTGGCAGCTACTTGTCACTGCGGACGTCTGAGTTCTTTCTCAGCTAGAGAAGAGAATTGACTGGGCAGAATAGCTTGACTCCGCCTCAAGACGGATAATAAAGGAATATACTGAATTAAACATAAATTAAAGGATTAGTTCACTTCCAGAATGGAAATTTCCTGATAATTTTCTCACCTCCATGTCATCCAAGATGTTCATGTCTTTCTTTCTGCAGTCAAAAAGAAATTACGTTTTTTGAGGAAAACATTCCAGGATTTTTCTCCATAAAGAGGACTTCAATGGGGATCAACGGTTTGAAGGTCCAAATTGCAGTTTCAGTGCAGCTTCAAAGCTCTCTACACGATCCCAGCCAAGGAATAAGGGTCTTATCTAATGAAATAATAGGTCATTTTCTAAAATAAAAAGACAAATTTATATACTTTTTAACCACAAATGCTCATCTTGCACTAGCTCTGCAAAGTTCTTCGCATGGTTAGTTCTTCGTCTGTGTACTTTGGTTCAAAAAGACCAACTTCAAAATCATCCAACATCATTGTTTTACCTTTTTTTGTAAAGGCCGTTTGTCTTTGCACCTTCGCTTTGTAAACACTGGGTCAGTACTTCCACCTACGTCATGTGTGACCTTTCCAACGTGACTACGTAATGCGTGAGGTCAAGCTAGTGCAAGACAAACATTTGTGGTTAAAAAGTAAATAAATTTGGTCGCCGATAGCCTCGTGGGCAGTGCGTCGACATGCAGCGCCATTGCGAGTCCCGGCTCGTGGACCTTTCCCAATCCCATCCCCCCTCTCTCCCACTTCGCTTCCTGTCTCACTACTATCCTATCAATAAAAGGCAAAAACGCCAAAAAATAAATCTTAAAAAAAAAAAAAAGTAAATAAATTAGTACATATACTAGATAAGACCCTTATTCCTCGGTTGGGATCGTGTGGAGCCCTTTGAAGCTGTACTGAAACTGCAATTTAGACCTTCAACCTGTTGGGTCCCATTGAAGTCCAATATGTGGAGAAAAATCCAGGAATGTTTTCCTCAAAAACCTTAATTTCTTTTCGACTGATGAAAGAAAGACTGGAACATCTTGGATGAGATGGGGGTGATCCATTAAGCACACAAAACCACACACAATTATATTGGTTTGTCCCTCAGTTTGTATGTACCGTGTTAAGGAAAGCACACTCCGAGATTCCAGGTATAATGTATTTTACACAATAGCCTTTTGTTTCCCTGATGTCAACAGTGTCATTTGTTTTAAACCTTATCAGCTTGTGCTCCTCTCTTTAACACACTGCTGTTGTTGGTGGGGGATATTCGTGGCTTTTGAAGCACTTTAAAGGAGAGCGACAGATGTTCCTTTTGTGAGAAGTAGGGGTTGGTCAGATCATCCATCTGGAGAGTATCCCAGTCCTTTGTATTTGTACTGCAGGCAGTATTGTGGGTCTTGTGCAATCATTTTTCCTAGAAAGTGTAAAATTCGTGTTTTTACTATCCTTCGTTTTCTTAAAGCTTTCTAGCCTGAGGATATCACAGATGACAAGTTAATCATACTGGTCTGTGCTCCCTCCTGGTGCAGTTTTATGTTTTAAGTTCACTCTTGCTGCACCTGTGTGACTGATTGAATGCTATAAAACTGTCAGTAAAAAATGCAAAAATGACACTTTGCATACTTATCGCCCTTTTTATTCAAATATGATTTGTTTTATGGACCTTGTATGGGCTCTTCGTCATGAGAAGGCCATTCCTCTATTTGGAGGTACCGTGTCTATGAGGAATGCAGCTTGACGTTGGTAATAAAGATTGATTTGTTGTTCTGTAACCATGCTTTCTTTTACAGTTACCCTCTGCTGAAGCTGCCTCTGCCAGGAACAGGGCCTGTCGAGTTCACCACTGGAGTACGAGATTACTCTGTTCCATCCCATGAGTCTCAGGGCAACCTGTCGGAGCGCCCTGATTGGGTAAAATGAAATGCTTGTTTGATATACATTACCGTTACAATTTCAGTTCTGTAAGATTTTTTTATTACTATTTTAAAAGAAAGTAATATTTTATCTGTAGAATATGGATGAGAATATAGAAAAGAATTCTGAAAAAATGTATCATGATTTTCACAAAAATATTAAGCAGCACATTTGTTTTCGGCATTAATAGTTGTAAATGTTACTTGAGCACCAAATCAGCATATAAGAATGATTTCTTAATGATCATGTGACACTGCAGTTTATTTATTTATTTTTTTAAATAAATGCAGCCTTGGTGAGCATAAGAGACTTCTTTCAAAAACATTACAAAATCTTACCACCCCCAAAAGTTTGAATGATAGTTATAACAGTTGTGAAGTATGCAGCTTTTCTGTGGAATTATTAACACGATTGCTAAGGCCGGCACTGGATAGGGATTGTAGACCTTGCAAACGTTGAGTGTGCATGCAATGTGTCCTACACTGTTACAGACATGAATAAACATCAAATCATGTTGAAAAAAAGGTGTATTATTACTTGTCTAATCTCTCAGACAATTTCACCTGGTGGACAAAAATCATTCGGAAAAATTCCAGTTGACTTGCTATGAAAAGTTACCTCTAGACTTGGGGCCAGCAAACAACCACCTGCAACACTTTAGCATCAGGGAATTAGCTTGGTCAAGCTCCACAGAAAATGTAAAAGTCAAGTTTCTTTTGAAGACCTGTTACTGTTAATCTAAATATGCTGCTTTTCTTGCAGTATCGGGGTCCTCCGGTGGCCTACATCCAGCAGGTCCTGGTCAAGGCAGCAGTTTCACCATGGGACAACAGTCTGGTTCCTGTGGATGTGTTCCGCTCTCCCCTTGGGCGCGTTTTCAGTCTCCTGGAGGAGATCAGAAACCACATTTACACAGACAGGTCTAAGATTCCCCCCCTGGCTTATTAGCTCATGTTGATTGATTTCAAACCATTTCTGTTCGCCCTTGTTACCACACATTTCTCAACCTCATTCTTTCCTGTTTTTCTCACTTCTCTCTTCTCAGAAGTTTGGAGGCACTGTGCTTGCAGGTAACGGACCTGTTGCCAGGGTTGCGGCGCATGCAGGCGGTCCTTCCAGAGCACGGCTGCCTGCTGGTTTCCCCTGGTAACTATTGGCAGAACCGGCGTGACCTGTTTGATGCAGATCCAGACCTCCTGAAGACAGTCCACCAACATGAACCCAAAGGCCTTCATACTTCAGCCACTCTGAAAGGCAGGACGCTGCTTAAATACAATTTAATCTCTGCTCAAATTAAAAGTTGCCCCCTGTTCGTTTAGAAAACCTATTTTTACTGTGTGTGCTTTTTAGATTTACTCTTTGGTGTCCCGGGGAAGCAGACAGGTGTAAGCCTGTACAGCAAGAAGAGAGTGGTGACATACACCATCACAATTGCACTAAGCTCCTATGATGCAAGGTCAGCCTTTGAAATATTTCAAATTAATTGTGGTCTATAAGGCAGGTGTCACATTTTCTAGATCTTGTAAAAATATAGTTTTTGTAGCGAACCAAATATGGTTTCCAAAAATGTTTAGCATCTCCTGTGTGTGTGTCTTTTTGGACAGGTTTGTAGCCAGTCTCCGAGCCCGTCTGAAACTGCTTCATCCTTCAGCGAACTGCACTCTGCGTGAAGACCACATGGTACATGTCCATTTCAAAGAGGAGATTGGCATCGCTGAGCTCATCCCTCTGGTCACCACCTACATTATCCTCTTTGCTTATATCTACTTCTCCACCCGTAAGTGTCATCTCTACCTATATTCTCTGACATTAATTAATTAATTTTTTTAAAGAATTAAGCATTTTATTTAGTAAGAATGCATTAAATTGATTAAAGTGATAGTAAAAACATTTGTAGTGTTTCAAATAAATGCTGGTCTTTTCAACTTTGATTAATCCTGAAAAAAAGTATCACAAATTCCACAAAAATATTAAGCAGCACAACTGTTTTCAACATTGAAAATAGTAAGAAATGTTTCTTGAGCACCATATCAGAATGTCTAAATGATTTCTCAAGAAACATGTGACACTGAAGACTGGAGTAATGGCTGTTGAAAATTAAGAATTGCATCACAGGAATAAACTATATTTTAAAAATGTTTTCTATGTTTCTCAATATATACTACTACTATACTACTATGTATATTCAAATAAGAAAAAATTTTAAATTGTAATATTTCACAATATTACTGTATTTTTATTAAACAAATGGTAAACATAACACATCTTTCCAAAAAAAAAAAAAAGACCAAACTTTTGAACCGTAGTGCACATGCATTTTTTTTCTGGTTTTGTGTTATGAAATACCTGGTTGTGTAATGTAAAGTGTTTCAATTGTACATTCTGACCTTGGAGTTAGAACAGGGTATCATGCTGCGTCTCAGTGTTGTAAAACAATAGGTGATATTCTGTTAACATGTTTGTAGAAGATTCCAGAAATATTTTATTTAATGGGCCATCTGATGTGCATTAGATTCTATAACTTTCATGATGAAGATATTTGCAGATAAACAATCCAGCGTAAGAGAGTTTCAGACCACTTTGTCAGAAATATCACCAGTGCTTAAATTATATGCACACACACACACAGTCTATGTTTCGAAATTTTTTTTTTTTTTTTTTTTTGGGTGTACTGTTTTA